AATATGTGTTAGAACACTGTAGTCAAAATTATATTCATTATTGTAATTTGCATGTGTGATCCTTAACTTATCTTTCTAATTGGCCTCTTGCAAGAATTTTTTATTATCTTATTTTAAAATGTAAATATTTAATTCACATAGAACTCACTTTTATATATGGTATAAGATGGGGCTCAGTGAAGGGAACCCCACAGGCCCAGGCTCCGTCATTACCCTCTCTGCTCGGTGAACACAGAGCTCCTCCCGCGTGGCCCGCTCTGAATGCTGTGCTGACTCGTTATCTGCGGCCCCCGTGCTTCCTGGACAGCAGCACTCACCAGAGTTACTTATGGCCTCATGCTGCTCGTCTCCAAATGAGGTTGGGCCTGGCTCTGTCCGGTGGCCCCAGCAGTGAACCGGAGACAGTGCTGTCATGTGCAGTCCAACCCACGTGTGTGTTGTGTCCCTTTCGTTCTGAGCAGCTGTGTCTTCCTAGTACACCGAAGACTTATTTAGCCTCCTTAACCTCTGGTCTCTTTCTCTGTGCAACAGAATTGGTCATACGTTGGTTAAGGTTTAAGTCCAGTGTCCCAGGGAGGTCACGGCCCCTCCTAGGTCATCAGTCAAATCCTCTTACTCAGTGACCCTTACGAAGCTCTTGTTTCTACCTGGGTAGCTCCAGGCCAAAGCACTGAAGCCAGCTGTGCCTTTGTCATATGTTGTTGGGGGCTCTGTGCTGGAGACGCTCACCCCATGGAGCTCCCTGCTGCCCATGTGCTCTCTGCTTCTTAATGGAGTTGCTCGGTGCCCCTCGGCATCAGCTTCATTCTTCACAAAGGGAAATCCCACGACTTTTCCACGCCTAGAGCTCGCAACAGCCTTGCAGACCAGATTCGCTCGCAGCCAATTTGACCATGTCCTGTTTACCTCTCACTGGCTTTGAAAATTCTGCCTTCTGGAGGCCACAGGGACAAATCTGAGTGTTCTTGGAAGCATTTGCCAAACGAGTTCAGAGACCAATGAGATCTCTGGCAAGTCACATACTCCTTTCCGCCATGGCGTTCTTAGCCCTCACGCCTCTCCTGTGCATCCTGACAGAATGCTTGGGATGTGCACGCATGCTGGGTGACGCATCTCTGTGGGCTGCATGGCTAGGAGCGAGGAGGAGCTGGAAGATCCATTGTCATTGGGGCAGGAAGGCGGCACCTCTGAAATTCTACAAAAGACAAATCTTTGTGTGCCTATTTGTCTTTGAATAGGTGTGCAAGGAAATAAAAACTGTATTGCTTATGAAAAAGAAAACCCAGGACTCTCATTAGTTTTATCACCAAATAACTTCCTCCAGAGAATTTCCAGGCAAGGAAATTCTAAAGGCTAAAAAAGCAGCATCCAGACTTTGTGCTCCTGAATCCCACCTTCTCCTTACGTTGTGTCCTTCAAGTCTTTGCCTCGAGTGTGCATGCAAATCACTCCCTTGCTTCTCTCTAACTGACCTTTCGGAAGAGAACCTCACTGAATGTGGCATTAGGGAAAACACGGCGAAGACACCGTGGTGGGTGCGGCGCAAAAGCAGTGAAATAACCAAGTCAGAGTGAGTGCCTCGCAGCTCGGAGCCAGGGCCTCCTCATGGCTCTGGTTCTGCCCTCTTCCGTGCGGCTTGCAGGACAGCGTCTTCTTGTCCTGTTATTCTGACCCTGGCCCACCCAGGGTGAGCGTCTTGCAGTGCTGTGTGCACAGGGATGGTGGGAGGGGTGGGGCACCAGGGCGTGGCCTGGAAGGATTTATTTATTTCCTCTTCCTTCCGTGATCTCACTCTCTGCTTCCTGCCACCGTACTAGGAACTATTCTCTGCCAGGCCCGTCTGCCGTGCTACCCTGCCCAGGAGCCAGCTGACTATGGACTGAAACCTCTGCAAACCGTGAAGCAAAGTAAACCTCGCCTCCTTTAAGTTGTGGATGTCAGGTATTTTCTCCCTGCAGTGAGAAAGTAACTAAGACACCCTCAAAGACTTGAAAGCAACTCTTATAAAAAAGCCCAGCGATACAAAGGAAAATGTATCCGTAATGGTTGATCATACAGGGAATCTTGGCAGAAAGATAAAATTATAGGCGCCACCAGTGGAAATCAGGTGGGGTGGTGAACACCTGTAGTCCTGCAGCGCTGGGAGACGCCTGGGCAATTCACCAAAATCTGTACCAAAATGAAAAAGGGTTGAAGATATGGATCAGTGCCCCAGTACTGCAAATGAAGGAGGAAAACAAAGAGGAGGAAAATAAGGGGGAGGAGGAAGAGGAGGAGAACCTAGAACTGAAAAATGAGAGAGATAAAATAAAAATCTCACCAGATAACTTAACTGCCTGACGAAGAGGCCAAGTGGAAGACTCTGGGCTGAGGACCGATCAGTACAAGTTACACAAACCAAGAAGGGAGAAGAAAGATACAAAATAACAATAGAAAAGAGGAGTGCTAACTAACATCAGTGTCATCAGAATCAAAAGAGGAAACAACAGAAAAACTGGAGACAAAAACTCAGGTAAAGTAATAACGGCTAACTCTTCTCAGTTTTGTTGAAAGCCCTAAGTGTATTGATTTAAGGAACTTGGAAAACCTTACAGATGAATACAGAGAAAATTCAGGCAAATTGCTGAAAACCACAATCAAAGAGAGGAATCTTAAAAGCAGGGTGAGAAAAGTGATACCTCACTGAGGGCAGTGACCTGAGTCACTGTGGGCCTCTCAGGTGAAACAGCGGAGGCCAGAAGGGAGCAAACTTGTCTCCAGCAGGACAAGGACCCTGACCCGTGCTGATGGGACAAAAGCAAGCAAACCTTCTCAACTCGGAATTTTATGTCCAGCCCAAAACTCCTTGAAGAACAGAGGTGGTGTTTTCAAGTCAAGCAAAACAAAAAAGAAACAACTCCTTGCAGACCCATCTTCTCTGCACACAGTGGCACACTCCAGGAAGTTCTCAGGGTTCGATGCCCAGCAGGCTGGGACGTACATGCAGGGCTGAGCCCACACTTGTCCAGCACATGGTGTAAGGCCCTGGGCTCCATCACCGGAGCTGTGTGCACACGGGCACACACACACATTCGAAATGATCTGATTCGATATAAAAAGCTACTGTTTTTCTTAATTTAAAAGAATGCATAGTACGTTCAAAGCCAAGATGTTAGCCTTGTCTGGTGGGATTGGTAACCACAGGCTCCACGTGGCTGCGAGGTGCCTGCTTTTTATGCAGGGTGGTGCACGAGCCACTCAAAATGCACCATGAGATGCTGCAATCCACAGAGACCACCAAATACAAGGCGCAGAGAGGCACAGAAAGTGAGCGTCACCTGCAGAAATGGGTGCGCCAGAACGCTCCGTGGTAGCTGGGCCAGGAAACTCCGGGGTCTCCGAGCAGCCCCTTCACTGGGCATCGCCCATCAGGGCCCCACGCTTCACCCGGAGGCCAGCGACTGTTCCATGAGATGTGGGACGGCAAGGAAGAACCCGCCTACAGCCTACATCCCATCCCAGGGATGATGGACGTGACCACGCAGCGAATCAGAACACGTTTGTCACACGGAGAGGAACTTTCTCGGGAATGTGCCTCCTAGAAACTACACCAGAAGTGACTAGAACGGATAAATGTTTTGTTTTTTGGATAAATGTTTTAGAGAGCCTGTTGGCACAGGCCTGAAATCTCTGCACTCTTAGAGGCTAAGGCAGGAGGATCCAAGTTTGAGTGACTTAGCAAACCTTGTCTCAAAATAAAGAATAAAAAGGCGTGGGGTTGTAGCTCCGTGCAAAGGCCCTGGGTTCGATCCCCAGTACTTAAAAAAAAAATTTAAAAATCTGTTTTATAACTGTTGCAGCTTAGCCTTGAGCTGTGTTGTGAACTGCCTCGGAGGGCTGTGATAAACCTAGACGATTCATTGCTGTGTTCTCTTAGAAGCAGAAGTGGTTTGGGGGCACGGAGGAGGCCTGGGTGACACCCGTGTTTGCGGACGGCCTCTAGAGTCCTGCCTGCTGGGCCCTGTGTCGTGTGCTCCTGCCCCTTGGGGCCTGTGTGGGGACCACCCCTGCTGCTACCTCCCACTCTTACAGCCCTCCAGGCTGGAAAACATTCGCCTACAGACATTCTCTTTCTCTCCATTACATATGTTTTTGTGAAAGGACTGTGCAGGAGAAATTTTCCATGAATAATTCATGTGTAATTGTTTTCAAAACATAAAGTTATTTTTTAAAGCAAGCAACCTAGCCGTCTGTGAGTTCCAGAGCACGCACGGCTGGGTGCTGTCAGGGGGCACCAGCTCTCTTCTGCACACGCTTCCCACAGGCCATGCCAGGCCTCGCTCCTCAGGGCTGGGCTGGACTGGGCTGCGTGCAGGTGACGCAGGTGGCCGAGAGTCCATCCTGCACTCCTGCCTAAGCCCCTGCACGGGCCACGGGAGGAAAGTGTGTCAGGGAAGGTGGGGAACGTGACCAGCAGCTGGGCCAGCCAGGGAGAAGGAGGCGGGTGTCATGGCCGCCCCTCCACAAATAGCCACAGAGCTTCCTGTCGCCACCCCAGTCACAATGAAAGCCCTGCGTTTCCTCCTCAAACCACCTTGCGTTACTGGGTCTCTGACTTCTCCATATGAATGGAGCTCTAGCTTCTGAGGCTTAGAAGCCACTGCAGTGACAACGCAGTGAACAGGGGTGAAGGTTTGACAGAGCCTTGCAAAGCTTTGCCGAGCTGCCGCAGGCCCAGGTGCCAGGCACACCAGTCTGCGTGGACCTGGGTGGACCTGGGTGTCGGGCTGAGCTGCACGGGCCTGTGCCACACGAAGTTCCTGTGGGCCCGGGTGCTGCACTGATTCAGCCTGGGCAGGTGATGCTGGTTCCCTTGTTCCCAAGCACTCAGCAAACACAGGCCCCACCCTCAGCAGCTGGGCCGGGGACAAAGCCAGTCACTGTCCTGAGCAGGAGGGGCTCCGTGCAGCAGGAGCAACGATGCCGACTGCACCCCTTCCACGGCCCCTCTTCCCTGCCAGGTCCTGGAGGACTGCGGGATGCCCATGGATCAGGTGCACTTTGCGCTGCTGGCTACGAAGATTGGCTGTAAGAAGGAGGGGATGAGCTACCTGGACTTTGTGACAGGACTCGAAGGTACAGGCAGCCTTGCACACCTGCCAGCCTTTCCTGCCGGCACCACCGGGCTGCTGGGGTCCAGGGCACCACCACTGCTGGTGAATTCATGTGTGTTCTGGGGCTGGAAGCGGGCATTTTGGAGGGAAATATGGAGCTGACCCGAGTGTTCTGCTCACCTAGAGCGCACTCGGGTCCTGAGTGGAGCCCACGGCCTGTTCCTTCGGTGACACCTTATGCCCTCATGGTTTTCCTCTGCAGAAAGATGCTGCCTACCTGGAATTAATGCTACCCACAGATGAGGCAAGCAGAATGCCTCCTTGTCAGCAGACAGGGACCCGGACATTCTAAAAGATCCCCTAGCTATGGTCTCCCAGCCCCAAAGGTGGCCAGGAAACCAGGTGGCCCATCTTGTGCTGTGAGGTCAGGGAAGGTGGGTCCTCCTGTCAGTGCCCTGTGCACCCCTCCTGCTCTCCGCCGTCTCTCAGCTCACGGTCCCAGGCACAGCTGGGAAACTGGCCGCCGGTCCCCAAGGCCCTGTGCTTGTGGTCCTTCTCCCGGTCTGGGCTCTGGGAGGTGACCGAGGCTCCTTTGGAGAACCTGGCCAGCTCTGCCCCGGGGCCCCACACAGCCCTGCCGACCCTGGAGGGAGGCTCCACCCTGCAGGAAGACGGCCGCGCCGTGGCACGGTGGAGCCGGCGTGCTCCCTGGGTAGATGCCTTGCCGCACTTGAAGGGACTGGAAAGGAAGGAGGGGTAGTGCTGTGTATGTTAGCGAGTGCACCCTTCCCTGGTGTTCTGCCCGGTGCTCTCCTTGCTTAGGGGAAACTGGGGCCCAGGGTAAGTGCGGCAGGCACGTGTCTGAGACCCGGGCTGGTGAGCCCCTGCTGCAGAGCAGCCTGACTCAGCATCCGTCATTCTCTGCCCCTCCCGGTGCGGTTCCTGCTCCCCCAACCTGTTCCTCAGCCCCTCCATGCAGTTCTGCTGTCCTCCATCAGCACCCACCTAGCCAGACCCATCGGGGAGGGACAGCCAGGCTCTAACAGCCACGTGGGCACAGCAGAGGGCTCAGGGTGTCTGCAGATGGCACCAAGCCCCCGCACTGGGGTGAAGGTACGGCAGAAGCTGGGCTCCTGCCTAGACCAGAGGATGCCCAAAACCTTGCGGCACCACCCCATTTCCGGCAGACCACACCCACAGCGGGGCGTCTACACCCATGGCCCCCGGTGTCTGGCTGCTGTGGGCAAAGCCACACCGATGTCCCGACCAGATGGGGACCGTCTGCCCCCGCCCCAGGGAGGCAGAAGACAGTTGCCGTCGCTGACCAGGGGGCTCAGGAGGCCTTGCCCTGGTTCAGCTGGGCTGTTCTGAGTGCTGCCTGCGAGCTGGGGGACCCCTGTGCACCCCATCTTCTGCTCTATGTAGAGTACACAATGCGTTGACTTGTGCTTAGCCAAGGTGTGTTTGAGGTTCCTACTTGTTTGAGTTGTTGGAAGAGCCGAGAACTACCTGAAGGCCTCAGCATGGCACCTAACAGACATGTGCTCAGGATGCCTGTTAACAAGTAGGGGACTGATCCCACTCCTCAGTACACGATGCTAGCGACCGAGAGGAGGGTAGAATTCTCTCTGGGTGCTGGGAGAGGAGCAAGACACAGCCCTGGCTCTCAAGGAAGAACAGAGACACCAGACAAGGACACCCCAGGACGCCCAGTACAGGACACGTCCTGTCCCCTTGTCTGGGAACAAATCCCTCTTGTAATAGAGCGCACACAACACAGTTAATGCCGTGTCCACGTCTCTGGGGGCCCTGACCGATGCTGGTATTTAACAAGATTTGGGAAGGGAAGAAAGCCTTCAAGTAGAAATAAAGAGGCGGGCATGGCACTAATAGACATCTTGTGATTTATGTCACCGTTTCAGATACTAAAACAAGTGGGCTGGCTGCAACTCCACCTCAGACTCCGGTTTCTTCAAAAATTCACTTGAATGGCCACTTTATAACTGCTGAAGAATGCCTGAAACTTTTCCCCAAGAGACTGAAGGCGTCATTCCGGGTAACGTGTAACTGTTTTGTGACTCGGCTTGTCTAGGCCTCCCCTCCCTCTTAGCAGCAAGCAGCCCCCTGGTCACTGCAGGGGACACGTGGCTCTCCTCAGGCAGACTCAGCACGGTGGGAGAGGTGTCTGCCCCGTGTGGTGGTGGCGGGGCACCTCCATTCCCCAAGGCCCCCAGCTGACACTCAGCTAGGAGAAGTAAGGGAAGGAGGGGAGGGACCTGGCCACCCTGGTGCAGTGACAAGAGCGCCCGCACGTCCCTTCCATCCACTGGCTCAGTCTGTACTAAATGCTTGAGATAGGAGCTGCCCAGAGCTCAGTCTAATCCGAGACGCTGGGGCTGAGGGCCCCAGGTGACGTCCTGGAGGAGGTGCCCCCTGCACTGAGCCTGAGGCTCCCGTCGTGTTCTGGGTGGAGAAGGGAAGGCAAGTCCTTGGCAGGGGGAGGGGGAGTGAGCCCCACGTGGAAGGTGGCTCTGGGGAAAGACACGGGGCTCACTGTGGTGGAGACGTGGGAGTCCTGTCTGCATGAACAACAGCTACCCAAGCAGAGACGGACAGAAAGCCGCAACCTCTTTCTGTGCGGTAAAGAGGGGGATCCAAGTGGGAAGGAATTTCAGCTCCAAAGAGGGCAGGGGGCCCCTGGAGGACTAGCAGGTGGAAAGAGGACATGGTAAGGGGACAGAAGGAACAGGGGTTGAGTGCAGAGCAGGAGGGATGAGGAGAGAGCTCAGGGGCATAGGATGGAGGCGCCAAAGGCTCTGAACCCTCTCCCTATACTGGTCGCCAGCTGGAGAGTCACTTGGTAACCCCACTCTAAAGGAACCTTTGATCGTGACCACCCGGCTGGGCTTTTCCAGGATGGCCTGGTGTGGGACATTCTCTGCCGTCATCAGACTGTGCGTCCTACTTTTTGCTTTGGGAAAATGTGGTCACCAAATGCATCTGTGGAGAAAGATTAGTCCTCCTGATTGAGTCCACCCCAGTATCAGCCAGGAAGGGGCTCCGGGAATCATCTGGGGCACCGGCGCGTGTAGAGGGGCAGGGGTCTCGTGAATTGTGAAGGAGGAAGCCTGCCGGGTGGTAGGACAGCGGTCTGTGGCCATGCCGCCCTGAACGCACCTGATGCTGTCTGATCTCGGGAGGACAGGGACAGGGAACTGATGTCCCCTGGCCCGGCCCAGCTCCCTCGCCCACGCTCACCTGTCACAGTGGGGCAGGGGGCCTAACCCCGGGCCGGTGGCACCACTGTCCTCCAATCTTGGTTATCAGCCTTGCTTGGTGGCTACAGGGAGCATAGATCCTGTATTTGCTGTCATAATCTTTACTTGCAATAATTAAATAATGATTTGACTCAATAGCTGTTTATCGACACCCACTGTATCCTGTGAAAAGTTTTTATAAACCAGTGGGTAAGACAAAGACCCTTACCCCAGCTCTGGTGTGAGATAGGCCAGGTGCGGGTTACTCCGGGCTCCCTGGGCCCACTTCTTTGTGTTTGCAAATCTCTGAACTGGTCAAAATGCCTTCGTTGCTGATGCTGTTGGTGTTGTCGCCCAGTTGGAAGCTAAAGACTCCTTGTCAGCTCTCAATCAGGCATACAGACCGCGGCAAGGTTGCGTGGGTCCCGCATACCTTGGCAGCCGCTGATGTGCCCAGGAAACAGGGACAGAGACCCCCCGGGGACGTGGGCTGGTACCGAACCACATGCACATTCTCCGAGGAGCCGTGAGCTGACCTTTGACCCAGGCCTCCCCTGGAAACACGGGTGCCAAAGAGCCCGCAGCACCCTCCAGACCCCCTCTCTGCAGGGCCAGGCATGTGCCCCTGTGTCCTATTTAAAGCCACACCCGTGAGTGAGACTCCCACATTCCCTTTTTCCTGTCCCCATCCCGCCCGGCCACCTGGCCATGCCTGGTGATCCCTACAACATGCAGCCCTGCTCAGGCACCCCACACCCCAACAGGCTGCTGCCACCCCGGCCACACAGTAGAGCTCTTGTGTGGGTGCTGAGATCCCACGCCACATGCCAGCAGTGAACCAGACCAATTTTGCACACACAGCCTTGTCTACTTTAACCTCCACCCTGTCCTGTGAAGAGGGTCCGAGTGTTCCCGTTTTATAGGTGGAGAAACTGAGTTAGAGACGCGCAGCTGCTTCTGCACACGTGTGTCAGAGCCCGGAAGTGGGATAAACTCCTGTCTGACTGCAGAGCCCGAGTTGTAAATTAGTATCTGTTCCAGGAAGCTGAGGGCTGAGATGTGGGGGGTGATTAGTTTATGAACTTGGGCCGGTCATGAACCTGGGGTCACCTTGCACCTAGGTTGTCATTCCAGTGTGGCGCCGAGGGCTGCAGGACGCTGGCATCATGCCCGCTGCCCTTGCCTCTTGCTTCCGTCTTCCTTCCCCGACGCACTGTGAGGACTGTGATTCGGTCATCACCGTGGCCTGTACTTAGCGAGTGCTTGGCACACTGGGTGCTCAGGAAATACCCGGTGCCTCCTTTCCACCAGCAGCTTCCTCCCACCGATACTGTTGAGCCCCTGGGACTGGGGCTGTGACAGGTATGGGTAGCAGCCTGGGTCCCACGCTTCTGTCCTAGAGGGACACCTGAGTCTGCAGTGTGGCAGAGGGGATGGGTGCCATGGAGGAAGATTGGGATGGGAAGCCGGCAGGATAGGCTGGCAGCTGGGACCCATGAGGGCTTCCTGAGCATCCGGGGACTCTGGCTGCGGAAGAGGCGGTATTCTGGTGTATGTTGTAGGTTTAAAACGTCCCTCAAAGTTTGGAAGATGGTTGGGTCAGGGTGGGCTAGGGTCATCAGTGGCTCATCACTGAGGAGTCCGTTGCTGCCTGTGCTGCTGGGGAGGTGATCCTCGGGGAGTGAGCTGGAAGGCGGTGTTCTTGTCCCCAGCTCCTCCTCCCTGCTCTCTCTGCTTCCTGGCTGCCATGGGGTGAGCAGCTTTTCTCCGACAACCTTGCCCCTCCCTCCCCCTTCCTGCCCTGGAGCCAGCCAACCATGGACTGAACCCACTGAAAACTGAGCCAAGTTAAACCTCTTCCTTCAAGTGGTGGGTGTGCAGTATGATGTCCCAGAGACATCAGAAAGTGACCCGTTCAGCTGGGGAGCAGGGAAGATTCCGATGTGCTGTGAGGGGAGAGTCGGGGGATTGTGGAAACAAGGGACGTGAGGGAGAAAGTGAGGAGGACTTCAAGGTGTGTGGTCCCAGCAGCTGCCACCTGCAGAAATGGGAAAGGGACAGGTGGTGCAGGGGCTGGGGCTGCAGTTTGGTTTTGCCTTGCTCGGTTTGACCTCTAGGAAGAAATGCCTCAGTCTGCTGAAGATATGGGGATGAGAGGGCCTGGAGCGGGGGATCAGCGGGGATCATCATCAAACAGATGGGCCGGAAGCCCTAGGAAGTCCCCCAGGAGGGCAAGGCCGCAGCCAGTTAGACATCCGCCTCCCGGCAGGTGGCAGTGACTCTGAGGGGCAGAGGCAGAATCTTTAATTGAAGTCTACAGTATTTAGCACAGTGACTGCACATACTCAATGCTGACTGGTTAATGAATGAACGGAAAACCTCTAGATCTCACAACATCCCAAGGCACGTGATCCATCAAGGCAGGGCTGCTTCACGTCCTGAACACGCCCCGCGGGAGGGACAGTAGCAACGATGGGGACAAATGGCCAGGTGCCTCCTGGGTTGGGGCAAGGGCGAGCGCCCCCGAAGGACCGCACCCTCCACTGCTCAAGCCAGACAGCCAGGAGCCCCGTGAGCAGGAAACAGGCGTCGGCCCAGACAGCCTCTCCCTGGCTTGAGAGTTTGGGCGACAGAAATCATGACTGGCAGATCATGGAGCACCCACAGCATGGGCCAGGCAGCATTTTCCATGCTTTAGCATAGTCGCTGCTTCTAGCAAGCGGAAGAGGAAGTGATGAGGGCTTTGTTCAGCATCCCTGAGTCACAGATGGGAAAGCAGAAGTACGGTCAGTCAGAGAGCTTGCCCAGAGTCAGATGGCCGGGGAACAGTTGCACTGGATTTGCATCTCACGGTCCAGCGCTCCCCAGCCCTGAGCCTCTGTTTCCTCATCTGGAAGAGTGGAATCCCTGTGCCCTCCCTCTACACAGCACCGTGGACAGAGTAGAGGAGTCCTGGCCTTCCAGTGGCCCTGGGGGGCGGGAGGAAGAGTGTGTTTGCCTGTAGACGGCAGTAGCCACCCATTATGGAAGCCACTGGTGACCCAGAGAGCAAGATGCTGAAACGCATCAGAAAATTCTGGCACCCTCTCCTTACTCTGTACACAGGGGGTGAGAGTGCCACAAGCTGGGCTGAAGGGAAAGGAAAGCTCCTCTGTCCCCATGTCCCAACTCCTTGTTTTGAAAGAGGGAGCTGGAGAGTGCACTTTCCAATTTCTGGGACAAGCAGATCAGGGCCAGGGGACCAGGGGACCCGCAGCCATCACCAAAGGCCACGGACCCTCCTCTGGCCCCAGCCCCCAGGAGCAGCGTAGGGCGGTTGGGGCTGGAAGGGTATCTGGTGGCCCCAGGTGCAGGAGAGAAGTGTATTGACATGTGCGTTTTGTTTCTAGGACCCCTACTCTGCCTTCTTTAAAATAGACACTGACAGGGATGGCATAGTCAACATGCGTGATCTTCACAGATTGCTACAGCGGCTCCTCTTCAACCTGAAAGACGAGGAGTTTGAGCGCTTCCTTGGCCTTCTTGGCTTAAGACTTAGTGTCACTTTAAACTTCCGGGAATTTCAAAATCTGTGTGAGAAGAGGTCCCCCCAGATGGATGAGGCACCCCAAAGACTCATTAGGTAAGAAGGCAGTGGGAGTCAGCGTCTTCCACGTGTGCTGCTGTGACAGCCAAAGGGTACAAAGCAGATCTTTTTTGTTTTGCTGGGTCTAAAACAGTCCACACAGGCCTCTGCATCCATGGTAAAGCCACCAGAAAACACACCCTGTTTCCCCACGCCAAGCATCATTTTATATATCATGGGGTATCCCACCTGCCTGTATACTCACGTTTCTGTGTGTTAATCTGATGTCAGCTCTATATGCTTTTTGGTCTTCAGTACTACAGACTGAGCCCAGGGTCTTCTGACCGAAGACCTTTATCCTAGCCCCCTTTTTTTGAAAGACAGTTTCACTAAGGTGCTATGTTGCCCAGGCCAGGCTAGAACTTGTGATCTTCCTGCCTCAGCTTCCCAGAAGACTCTGTGTACTTTTGGTTCAGCCTTTTAAAAATGCAGCTTCTGAAGCCTTTCTGACCTCTGCCTAAAGCTCAGCCCCTCCAAGGGGCCACTGCAAAGGGGGCTGGGTTCCACTGCCACCTCGTGAAGGGAACACACGAATCCCCCCGTTCCCCCGCAACCCTGGAAAAAAACCTCCCCTGCAAATGCTCAGCTAGGCCGTAGGTGTGAACCCGAGGACCCCAGACTGTCTTGGGGAAGTCAGCAGGAACCAAGGTGTTGTCTGTGCCCACTGCCTTCCAGCCCTTGGGGGCAGTGCCACACCCAGACCTCTGCCCACTGGCACAGCCTCACACCGGCCAGCTGGAGCCTCAGGGCCCCGCTGGCCCCTCACTCGTGCTCTTTGGCCTTTTCTCCACAAGCGCATGCACTCCCTACAGGCTCGGGGCCACCATCTCTAGGACCCTGCCGTGTTCCCACTGACACGGCGAGTGCTGGCCTTTGGGGGTGGAGTCCCCCCTTCTGTTTTTTGTTTTGTTTTTGGTGGGGTTTTCTTTTCTTTTTTCTTTGTTTTTGGTACTGGGGATCAAACTGAGGACCTTGTGCTTGCGAGACAGGTGGCGGCACCACTGACTCCCCAGTCCTGGAGTCCCTCCTTTTTGACCAACTGTTGTAACCTAATATTTTGAAAACTCCACACACTATATTAACACCGAGGTGAGTTTCTGATCTGATAGGCCCACGCAATAGTGACCTCCACTCTGTCCTTTTGACCTTGAGATGCCCACACCCTGAGTGCTCCAGGTGAGACCTCCCTTCTACCTGGGTACGTGGAGCCCCCAGAAGCCAGAGCCACTGTGCAGAGTGTGTGACACTCAGTAAGGCTATTCAAGGCCCTCGGACCTTGAACTATTTTATTTTTCTCCTGCTCTCATAGGTTTAATTTTAGGCTCATATTAAAAAAAAAAAAAAAAAAAA